TGGGATGGCGGTCATGTTCCGGCGGTACCTCCACCATGTCCCGGCCACAGTCCTCACTCGGATGCAGCCAGCGTCCGGCGTCAGCACTGATGCCAAAAACGGGAGTGCTATCGAACCAAACTGTTGCAGCACTGCCCTTGTCCTCCCGAACTTTGGCTATGACCAGATCATACGCTTTGCCTCCAGGTATCGAGGCCCCACTTGCCATGAAATGGCTTCACATATGTTGGAAGCAGTCAAATGAATTATAATAAGTAAAAATCAGCCCCGTCCCTGCAGCTTCATGACACATCTGGATGAAAGACTCATCAGTAGGGAGAATGCCTGCGGCGAGTTTCACCAGCCAAGAGGCTCTAGTCGAGCGGACTGCGTCTAAAACGAAGTTCCGGTCAGATCTTAGCCGCTTTGAGGCATGCTTGAGCGCCACACCGTTGTTGCGAATGGCAGCCAACACGATGCGTTCATCGTCCTGCAGCTCCGGCGAAGCATACTCTAGGGCCATGCCGTTAGTCTCAACAGCAGCCAGCACGACTTCGCGCTCCTCCCTGAACTGCGTGAGCTGCAAGGCCTCGCCATTCTGTTGGACAGCGGCGAGCACGATCTTTTTGTTATGTTGAAGCGCTTGTGAAGCGAACTTCAAGGCTCGCCCTTCCTGCTGGACTGCATACAAGACGATATCCTTGTCCCGAGCAGCTTGCTCATCTAGCACGAATTTCAATGCGAATCCCCGGGAAGATACTGCAGCGATAACAATCTGAATGTCTTCATGCATTGGTGGAAAAGCAAACTGTATTGCAAAACCGTTCTGCTGGACTGCCTGAAAAACGACGTCGAAGTCACCTTGAAGCTCTTGGCTCGCATACTGCAAGGCCATACCATTTTGCTTCACTGCCGCCGACACTACCTTCTTGGTCTGCTTCATGGCGTCTTCGAGGTGTTGCAATGCACAGCCACGACGTCCGACTACTTCCAAGACATCCTTGATGTTGGTCTGCAGTGCAGTCTGCAGATTTGCAGGCAGGAACTGAATGGCGAACATTTCCACGCCGTCGAAGTTCGGCATATCTGCAGCACGCTGCAGCGAAGAGTCGGCAGCTGCCATGATGTCTTTATCTTGGAGGATGTTTTCTGATGCATACCTGGGTTGGCCTTTGAACACCCTGAAAAATATTTATATATAAGGTCCCTTCTAAACCCAAATAAGGAAAATAAAAAATGTCCCAAAATCCAACCTAGATACTCCAGGAGATGGCCGTGTATCTCCACTGCACGCATGAAAAAAGACGGATCGTGGAGCAGCCTTTCGTCTCCAAACCGTATTGCTTGGTAGTCGGCTGAGAAAGCAGTGAGCACAACATCTTGCTTGCGTTTAAGGCCCTGAGATGCAAACTCTAAGGCAATGCCAGTCGTGCAAACCGCTGCCATCACACAATCAGTGTTGTCCCGCAGTTCCTTCGAAGCGAACTGCAAGGCAAGTCCAATCTGCCGAACTGCTGCCATGACAATCGCCACGTCCGCCGCTAGATCTTCTGGTACATACTGCAGCATGAGACCGTCCTGACTGACTATATCTGTGACGAGGCCTTTGTTGTTTCGGATTAGCTCCTCCGATGCAAAACGCAACGCCCATGATGCGTCCCGCCTGGCAGCAGCTACAAAGATCTCTCTGTCTGCTTGCAGTGTGAAGGATGCGAACCGCAAGGCAAAGGCATCCTGAGTGACGGCGGCCAGCACAACTTCTCTGTCCCCTTGTAAAGCAGGGGATGCAAACTCCAGAGCACGTCCGTTCTGCACAACAGCAGCCAGAACCAGAGTCTTGTCTGCACGCATTTGCTTCAGGGTGTACTCCAAAGTCATCCCATTCTTTTGGACAGCGGCCATTACAATTTGATCGTTCCCCTGATGGAGTGGGGCGTGCTGCAAGACGTTAGGGTTTTCCTGGACTGCACTGAAGACAAACTTTGCATCCTTCCGCTTAGCGAAAGATACTGGAAAGCAGCGGAGTTTGAACGGACTGCGGCCATGGCAAACTCCTTGGTGTTCTTTAGATCCTCTGAAGCGAAATCCATAGCTGTCTCGAGATTCTGCCGGGCTGCTGCTAAGATGATGCTGTGGCAGTTCCTGCATTCTTCCGAAGCAAAGTGCAAGGCTTGCCAGTTGTTGACGACCGCGTCTAACACAATGCCTTCGTCGCTTCTCAGCTCCTCTCCCGCATATTCTAATGCACATCCAGTCTGCTGGACAGCAGACATGACAATTTCTCTGTCATTTCTTAAGTCGGCTGGAGCATCGGCAAGTGCCAGTCCACTTTCGCGGACCCGGCGCAGGACGGTCGGCTTATCATCGAGCCGCGGCGCGACCGGCCTCTGAATAGGTGCCAGGGATTTTGGCTTTGCACGCCTTGGCGAGTATCGCTTCATCCGGTGCAACGAGACCAGCCGCTGCGATTCAAGCCAGAAAACAGAAAGTATAATGGTGTATAATATACAATGTTACATACATAGCGATAAGTATTAGTATGTATATTAGTAAAAAGTGGAGTCTTCTTAAAGGCAGGGCAGCAGGGAGCTTCGCATTGAGCCAAGGCTGTGCTTCGTGCCCAAGGAAGTACTTGGAGGATCATGGGACTTAGAGTAGGGTTCCTCAAAGGGCTCCTTAAAGGGATTTATTGGGTTCCTTCAGAGGATCTATAGGGTTCCTTGAGGGGATCTATAGGGTTTAGGGTTTAGGGCTTACTTACAGGATCACGGGACTTAGTAAGTAGGGTTACAAGTAAGTTAACTATAGTTCTATCTTAATTAAGCGCGGGGCTTGAGCCGGTTTGGGGACGTACGTAGTTACCCGCTTGCGCTTAGCAGAAATGCAAAGTGGGGGCTTCTCCATGTATTAGGAGCTCGTGAGGCAGGGGTGTTTTTCATCCGCATAGTGCGGCTGCAAGCCGATCTCGGGAAGCTAGACCTGGCTTCAAACGGAGATGCCCGAAACACAACGGTGCAAGCTTTTTGGGCTATCGGCACTGCACTCTCCATCCGAAAGAAGATGTACGACATATGTCAAGAACGAACTCTGAATAGACTATTAACAACTGTGCCCAATGTCTAACCCCGCCTTGTTCACCCGGTACTGAGACCGCTCGATGAGGCTGAAGATGATGGAGTCCTTGCTAAACTTAACTACGCTATGCGGTTTAGGGTTTAGAGTTTAGGGTTTAGGGTATGATGACTACACATCATTACCAAGAAAGCTATTCCCCATCAACCTCAACAACTAAAGCAAAAATCTTCAACTTCGACCAACATCACCACAAACACTGTGACATGCCATCAGTAAGCCATCACAGCCTGATTACCACAAAGCACATCGCCGGGAGAAATCAAAACATCCCCATAGAAATCGTTGTAGTCTTTACTGCCAGTACATGTCCTCCATCCGCTGCAGCACGCTGCGGATGTTGTTGAGATCAAGAGCCTAACCGCACAGAGTGGGTGCAAGGCTTTCGAGATTTTGTCGCAGGTGGGGCTATCCAGGTTTACACTTTTGGATTTGGTGGACAGATAGCTGAGTGTCGATGTCAGGATCGCTGTAGTGCTGGGAAGATGAGGTGTCTTCTCAAATTTGTTGCTTACTTTGTGCATTTCGATTCCAAGCCGGCATCCGTCTTTTCGAAGCACGTCAAAACAACCCCCCGCATCCTAGGTCTGGAAGCCCCAACATCAACATGTGCAAAATTGGAATCTTAACATCAGCAACGTATCAATCCCCACAAACCGAACCGAATGCCCCCCCCCCCCGCGCAAGCAAGTGCATGAAATCTGTGGAATGCAAACCACTGCTTGGCTTGACTGTTGGGCGAAGGTGTTAGCGATCGTGGGGGCATGGGGGCAAAGGATAAATGCTCCCAGCATGAAGGCCTGGCATATTCAGCTACTTTCAGCGTAGGCACCTGCTCCGGATTTGTAACATCCAGGTCGGCAGTGTTGGCCGACATGGCAAACAAAGAAGCGGCGCAAGCCCCAATGCACTGATGCTTGAACCCTAAACCCCAAACCCTAAACCCTAAACCGGAGCTGTAGATTTTGACGCACGAAGGCCGAAGTGTGTGTGAGCCCTTGGCGCACCTGGAGGTTTGCTTTGCTGGGCTTCTTTCGGGAGGGTGGGGACTCAAGGGTGTTGATCTATGCAGTCCCGGAAGGCTCAGAAGATCACAGAAGCTTTAAAGCCTACACCCGGTGATGTTCGGGGGTGCAGACTGGACGAGTGCTGGTTGGCTGGTGCACTGGCATCTGCAAACTGTGCTAAGTGAGCCAGAAGCAGCGGCAAAATAGTGTCATAGCTCAAGCAGATGACTGCTGTTGAACACATTCTCTACTCGCCCTTCTCATGGAAGTATAGCGGAATGGCAACGGAAAATACCAAATACCCGCCATGGCTGCACGAAGATTCGCACGAAACTACTGAAAAGTCTACTCTCACTCACATCACCATCAACAGAAACCTTAGGAGTATCAGTGGACGATCGTACAGCAACAGCTTTCACATTGAAGCGACTTTTGTGGCAACGAAGAAAAGTTCATGATGACGGCAAGAGTGACAGTAGCGGGGAACAACGCGAAACAATCGATTGAAGACTACTATATCGAGACGGTTAGACATGGAAGTGTTTTCGATCTTGAGCCTTGAAAATCAAAAACCCCGAGCGCTTTAGGTCCACAGCCCACCCACGCGAAGCGCTAAACCCTGCAGGGTGAACACCCTAATACCGTACCCTTGAACCGCTAACCACGAAACCACGATACGATAGACCAAAAACCAACCCCTACACCCCAAACCCCTACACACCTCAGGGGCCCCCATACAGTAAGAGTCTATAATAGGGCTACCATTAAGGTCCTACTATATCTATATTATGAACATTATTCAACTATTACTGAGTGGGGGCCGAACCCAACCTACACCCTAAAGCGTAAAGCCGAAACCCCAAACCTGGCAGGACAGGTTGCTGAACAGTCATCAGCACGGAGTCTTCGGGCAAGGGCTCGGAGAACCCAAGCCCCTGTGAGGTCCAGGGCTGTTCAGGCTTTAGGGTTTCAGGCTTGAGGTTTAAGTATAGTAGGTTTAACTTTCAGGTTTTAGGTTGTAAATTTTTGGGCCTTCAGGGTGCAGCGCTTTAGGGGTTCAGGGTGCAGAGTTTTTTTCCTGTCCGGCTTCCTATGAGGATAAGGGTTTTAGGGTCTAGGTTTCGGGATTGAAAGTCGGAGGCCTGGGTTTAGGGCCGCTGGCGAGAAGTACGAACACGTGCATCAACAATAGTGATATCACTATGACAATTAGTATTACTACAAGTATTTGTCTTACTACTATAGTTATTACTAGTATTGTTACCATTGTTGCTTTAATCAGTACAGACGATGACATAACAACAACATACTAAGAAGGATAACATAGGTGAAGGTGACTGGCCTTGGCAGCGCCAGTGACGAGAGGAATAGCAATAAGCAGCAGCAGTAGCAGTCATCAGTAACGATAGCAGCAACTAGCATGCCCATGACCGTCATCATTTCCAGGACTTACCAGGACCGTTGCAATGATGTTTCTGGCGAAGAAGAAGATCACCACCACGGCCATGTCGCAAAGAGTATCAGAGTATCATAACTGTTGTTGTTACTATTGCAGCAACGAGGTTGACACTGACCATGATGACAACACAATGCCAATCATGACATTGGCATTACTCATCGCAACATCGCAGCTAACAGGAGCCAGAACAACACTAATTACAGTGACCGTCCAAACTGCAAACCGTGACCTAAACTCCGAAACCGACGCACTAAAACCGTCACCCCCCACCTAGACCCCGAAACCTTATCAAAAAAAAAACTAAAACGCTCAACTCCTTAACCCCTCGACCCCCAACCCCGCAACACCCAACCCCTAAACCCCCACACCCCTAATACCTAAACCCCTAATTAAGCCCCCCCAAGCCACTAACTAAACCCTCAAACCCCCTTAAACCCCACATCCATCTTAGCAACCGCCCCAACAAAAACCGGAGGCCTTAACCCTAAACCGTAACCGTAAACTCTAAACCCTTAACCCTAAAACCCTAAACCCTAACCCTAAGCCCTAAGCCGTCCTCCAAAGCGCGAAAGGCGCCATGAGCCAAAAGATCGGCCAGGCCGGGCCTCACGATTTAGGGTTTAGGGATTAGGGTTTAGGGTTTAGGGGTTTAGGGGTTTAGGGTTTAGGGGTATAGGGTTTAGGGTGTAGGGTTTAGGGGTTTAGGGGTTTAGGGTTTAGGGTTTAGGGTTTGGGGTTTGGGGTTTAGGGAAGCAGGGCACTTAGAGGATATCATGGGGCTTACTAAGTAGGGTTCCTTATGACGGGCTCCTAAAAAGGGATCTATAGGGTTCCTTTAAAGGGACCTGTAGGGTTTAGGGGCTAGGGTCTACTTGGAGCATCATGGGACTCAGTAAAGTAGGAGTAAGAAGTAAGCTAACTATAGTTAAACCTACTTATAACTTATAACGCCAATTAAGGGCTACTTACCTTAATGACCCTAAGCTATGGGAACTATAGTATGTTCCTGATGATGGGTATGGTTGAGGGTTTAGTTTGGGGGAAAAGCTCAGATGGGTTTGGGTCTCCAAGCAGGGCAGGGCAGGAGGGCAGGGCAGGGGCAGGGGATGGCAGGGGCGGAGCGGGTCGGGGAGGGCCGAAAAGGATGGGTTTACGGGTTTGCGGTTTTACGATTTGGGGTTAGGGCTTTCGCGGTTTAAGGGGTTTAGGAGTTTACGTCTTTAGGCGTTTAGGGTGTAAGGCTTTGGGTTTAGTTTTTAAGCTTGCAGGTTTAAGGGTTGACGGCTTGAGGTGCGCAGGGGCTTAGGGCTTCAACGATTATGGCTCAAGGGGGTGGGGTTTAAGATCTGGCAAGCCGGATCACAAGTGCCTACAACAGGAGGCCTCTATGTGGGAGTTCAGGGTTCAGGCTTTGGGTTCTGTGAAGCTCTATAGGAGTTTCGAGCTGTGGGGTCCAAGGTGTAAGGTTCGGGATTTGCTGTTTGAGACTTGAGAGGCCAGGGTATCTTTAGGGCTTGAGGTTGCGTGCTTGGGTCAGGATTCTCCTTTCCTTCGAGGTTGAGGCGGAAACAGTGCGCTGATGCTTCCACTCTTGCGCCATCTCGTCCCTGATCCAACACGAGAGCTCGCCGAACCCATTCCAAATCACCCCATGTTGCGGCTGTGCTTCAGACAAAAAGTCCATGAACTCTCCACATGTGGAGGATCCCGGCATGACAAAAACAAATACTGCGTTATTGCAGTTGCAATGACCTGTTCGACGGGCTTTGGCCACCGAAGGCCTGAAGAGTTGGATCTGTCGGGCATTTCAAGTTCAAGGTTTAGGGTTTTCCTGTTTGGTGTTTCGGCTTTAGGGCCAGGGAACCGTGACTGAAACCGAAACCCTCAAGCCTGAACCCCAAACCCCAAAGCCGAAACCCTAAACTCGTCAGCCTACACCCCTAAACCCTAAAGCCCAAAAAACCTAACCCCCAAACCCCTCAAACCCAAAACCCCTGCACCCCTGAACCCTAAAGCCCCAAAAGCCCTTAGCCCCGAAGCGCGGCCTTTGCTCGTCTCCCCAGGCCAGCCGGCTCTTGCCGCTGCCGCGTGGCCCGTGCAGCCAGAGGCAGAAGTGATGGGCCTTAAGGGTTTCGGTTAGAAGGGGTTTAGGGGTTTAGGGTTTAGGGTTTAGGGGTTTAGGGTTTAGGGTTTAGGGTTTAGGGTTTGCTGCAAGATTGCGTAGCGGTAGTGCAACAAGGATTGTAGGATTTATTAGCGGTTTTGTTGCCTGCGAATCGCAGACATGGCCCGACTGTGGCGGGCCATCATATAACTCACCCACCCCACGCCGTGTGAGGCGGCAAACCACCCAAACCTCTACCTTTTAGGGTTTAGGACCTAAACTCTGTTAGGTCCATGTTGGTTAACAACAACCACACAATTCTGCAGCCAAGCTTCTGCTTAAAAAAAGGCAGGGCAGAGGAGGGCAGAGTACGGCAGGAGGTGGGCCAGAGGGGCCAAGGGGGGGCCACGGGGGCCAGAGGCCAGGAAAGGAGGGCCAGGGGCCTCGGTTCAAAAGCAAAAAATTGCAGTTTTTGTCCAAGTCCCCCCTAGGACCAGCCAGGAGGCCCCTAGGTCCTGGAACTCTGCTCGCTGGAGCCTCCAAGCCCCCCCCGGGGGATCTAACGTGGGTGCTACAGTACCCCTGCCCACAGAGGGCGAGCGTCCTGGATCGACCTGCGCCATCGATGTCGAGGGGCTTAAGCGCCGCCCACCAACGAAGGTGGGCGGCCTAGGCCTTGAGTTTAGGGTTTAGGGTTTAGGGGTTTAGGGTTTAGGGTTTAGGGTTTGAGGGGTGTAGGGGTTTAGGGTTTAGGGTTTAGGGTTTAGGGGTTTAGGTTAGAAGGGGCCCCCACCCTGTAATAGTGGTATAATAGGAATATAATAGGGCGCTGATATAATCCGTACAGTCACTATTACAGGGTGGGGGCCCCTTCTAAGGTTTAGGGTTTCAATAGGATGTGGAGCCCAGGAGACATATATAGGCTCCGGTTTCAGGGCTCGGGTCTTGGGCTTAAGGTTTAGGGTGTAAGGTTGTAGGGCTTGGGCTTTGAAGGTTAGAGTTGAGTGTTTGAGGGTTCAGGGTTTCAACTCTACGAGACCTTATAATATGCCGGAAAACCCTTGTAAGACAGAGGACCCCAGGCCGTTAGCCCTGACCTACAAGAATCCTTTTGAAAACGCTGAGACATCGCATAAAACCCTCTGCAACCCATAAAGCCCTAAAACCCAAACCCTAAACCCGCAAAGAGCCTCCAGCCCCTGAACGAACGAAACCCCTAAAACCTTGAACCCATAGGGCCCCCTGTAAGGGTTTTAAGGTATCGGGTTTTGGGGGTTTTAGAGCTTTAAACCAATAAGGTTTCTGTAAGGGTTTTAGGGTTTCGGGTTTAGGGGTTTTAGAGCTTTAAACCCATATAATGAACTCTAGAAAGTTGGAACATGGATTTAGGATGATCAATGCTGGGATCCCATATACTTTACCTTATGGGTATGAGGACAATTATGTTCCAACTTTCTGGCTTCTACTAAAACCCTAAACCCACAAGGCCCGCTGTAAGGGGTTTAGGGTTTCGGGTTTAGGGGGTTTTAGAGCTTTAGACCCATTAAGCCTCCCCTGTCCTAAACCCTAAACCCTAAACCGTTCAGACCCCATGACTGGCCTCTGCCACTGCCTGCTGCACACAGGGAAGCCTCGGCCAAGGCCCCAGAGAGCCCAATACCCCTTAGTTCAGGAATACCTAGATTTCCTTTACGGGATCTATAAGGGATCTATAAGGGGGTCTATAAGGGAATTAGGGAGTATGGCTTAAGTTATATAGGGCTGCATATTATGATTTAAGCCCTTATAGAACCCCTTATAGATCCCTTTCAGGAGCCCTTTAAGGAACCCTTAGGCCTTAGGCTATATTCCTTAGAGGGCTCTCGTTGTTCTTGCTATTTTTAATGATTTACAGCTGTTATGGTCGATATTGAAATTATTGTTATTGAGGCTGCGCTTGGAGTTAGAGCTTCTGCTCTTGCTCTTCCTCTTGCGCTTGAGCTTGCGCTTGCTCTTGCTCTGGCTAGCTTGTAGTTGAGTTTTGGCTTGGGGCTGCTGGGAAGGAAAGAGATAGAAGCTAGCCAAGGCCAGTGCAGTTACAGCCGTGAAACCGCCCACCACTCACTCTTCATAGTATATAAAACCTGTGGAAACCTGCCCAGACCAGCATTGCCCTTTTTGGCTATGCACCCTGAACCCCAAAAACTCCAAAAGAAGAAACCCCTCTCCCCCCCTAAACCCTAAACCCTAAACCCTAAAACCCTAAACCCTAAACCCTAAAACCCTAAACCCTAAACCCTAAACCCTAAAACCCTAAACCCTAAACCCTAAACCGAAAAAAAAAATCCCGGCCCACATGCCCTCTGTGCTTGGCAGCAGGCAGGAAGCTGCAAAGCTCCTCCGGTGCGGGGGCCTCCCGGTCAAGGTCCTCATCACTCTATAGACCCTAAACCCTAAATGAACCCTAAACCCTAAATAAACCCTAAACCCTAAATCCTAAGCCCTAAACCCTAAACCCCAAACCCTAAACCCCAAATCCTAAACCCTAAATCCGAAACCCAAAACCCTATATCCTAAACCCTAAACCGTTGGTGGGGTTGAGGGCATTGCGGCTTTGGGGCTTACTTGGAGGGTCGGGGGGACTTAGTAAGTATTTATTTTAAAGAGTTAAAACATCCATTCCCCAATTTTGACCCCTTTTAAGTTTTGAACCCTTCTAGGCTACGTATATATCACTCCACTGATTGCCTACTTAGTCGTCCACCGTGCTGGTAACACGTATAGCATCCCTTCTGAAGACCCGGAAGCCGCTTTTAAACACTGAACCTTTCCAACCCCTGGGCCCTCTAGACAGTAGAGGATCAGGGGACTTCGTAAGTAGGGTTATTAGTATAACAGTACTATAGCTATATCTACTCATAAGCCTGATTAAGGTCCTTACAACCCTCACAACTAGTGAGATTTTTTAGTTCACGAGTAGCTATATATATATATATATGTGTATATATATATGTACATATATATATATATATGTATATATATACATATATATATATATACACACACTCATAACAATGATAAAACTACTTATAACTCGATCCCCTTGGAGTCTCGGATCTGCGACTCCCGAAGGCGTTTCTGACCGGCCACCGACTCCGGTTGCAGCTTCCTCTTTCCAGCCCGCCGAGGAAGTCCAGTGCTGGAGCCTCTCGTAGCATTGCCATGCATTCGCTCGTATGCTTTTTGAATCCATGTGCACCGTGATGTTCCGACGACCTTGGTGCTTCCATCCACACGGCTTTGGAGCCGAATTGCGAGGTTTGGGGGCCTGGGTTCAGGGGTTAGTTCAGGGTTTAGGGTTTCTTTAGGGTTTAGGGTCTAGGGTTTAGGGTTCAGGGTTTAGGGTTCAGGGTTTAGGGTTTAGGGTTTAGTTCCCCCCACCCTTGTCCTGCCTAAAGGTTGGGATGGTTGGGGTGGAGGGGCCGAGAAGGCAAAAAGCGGGGGACGGGCACACTCTCGCGGATTCTCTGGGGGTGTCGCTGCACCCAACTGCACACTCCTACGTGACAAACGCTGTAGCCCCATTGACACCGACATCTTTCATAACTTCAATTTGTGAGACACCACCTGCGATGCGAGCTTACCCGCAGCCTTGAAGCACCCAAGCCCTAAACTCCGAAACACCCCAAGTGACGAAGCGACTGCCTCCGAATTCTGTCGAAGATCAAAGACTCCGCCGGTCGGAGCATACCGTCTGGGCTCCAAGGTTGTTCCTGGCATGAAGCTGTATACCCCGAACCAGGGAGCCCGATAGGTTTAGGGTCTAGGGACAGCGACCCTATCGAATTTAAGACCCTCCCTGAGTTCAGGCATGTTGTGCTCCCTGGCAGGTTTGGAACATTGAAGTTTCGGGTTTAGTGTTTCGGTATCTGCGGCTAGTCCACGAAATGCGGTCAAGGCATCCCAGGAACTAGGGGCGCATGGGCTAGGGGCTACTGAGATTTTTCGAAAGCGAGTCCACAGCTCCCACCCTCTGTTCATGATGTGCGTGCATGTACCCAGAACCGGAAAACGCACCTCCCGTCATCCCACACACCAAACTCCTTCGAACAAGCGATACCTTTCAAATTGAGTTCAAGACTATAAACTAGGTACGGCCCCTACTCAGTAATGGTTGAATTGTATTCATAATATAGATATATGATATAGTAGGACCTTACTAGTAGCCCCATTATAGACTCTTACTCATGGGGGCCGTACCCAAACTATAGAATATAAACTTCTCCAGTGCGGGGAATACCTGAGCAACCCATCCTTTCTTGAGGGATATTGGAGTTGCCGGGATATCTAAGATGAAAAGGTCCAAACACGCAGTCATATGGAAGCTGTCACCCTGCACGTGAAATTCCTAATGTATGCTGCGCGTCTCATCAAATCTTCGACAATTTAGGAGACTCAGAACAGCTTCAACAAGAAAATGCAACTCCCGCGCATGCAGCGCCCACCAACGAGCTCCCACCACCCGACCCATCACTCTGAGCCCCACCCACTCTCAGAGAGAAGAGAGAGAGAGAGAGAGAGTGAGAGTGAAATCAAGAGAGACAGAGAGTGGGAAACCGAAAATGCGCAACCAACAAATACCCTAAAAGTGCAACCGGCATATCCACCTCTCAAACCAAAAAAGTCCATCCAACCCCCAAGCCCTAAACCCTAAGCCCGAGATCCCCAAAAGCTCTAAGTCCCAAACCCTAGAACCTCAAAAGCCTGAATCCTCAAACGCCCCCCTCAAAGGGTTTAGGGTTTAGTACAAACCTCAAGCCAAGCCCCAAAAGCCGCAACCAACAACAGACTAAGCTCGATTTGCCCAGTTTTCAGCCTGACTGAAAACCCGAACTGATGAACAAGGCGGGCACAAACAAAAAAGAAAAGCCGAAGAGGTAAGACTGTAACAAAACTCCCCAAAGCCCGAAACTTTACCCTTGACCTCGAACCCAAAAACCAACACAAAAAGAGAAGATCCCAACACGCCATGGGTACCCGAAACATCCAAACGACCGAAACCTCTTCAACAAAGCCCGCGCGCGAACCTCGAACACCAAACTGAAAATCGACAAAATTAAGCCCCACACCCCTTCAACCCCTTTAACCCCTAAACCCCTAAACCCTAATAAACCCCTGAATCCCTCCTAAATCCCTAAACCCCTAAACCCTAAACCCCCAAACCCCTAAACCCCCTAAACCCTAAACCCCCAAACCCCCTAAACCCCTAAACCCTAAACCCCCAAACCCCTAAACCCTAAACCCCCAAACCCCCTCAACTGAGTCGGAATCCATCAGCAAGCAGGGTTGCAACAACTAAGCTTTGAGCTCCAGCGCCTGTGAGCCATGGCTTCGAGCCCTGTTCCTTTGAAGGCTGGTGGGCTTGCCGAGCTCCTGGTGAACGATTTTGCCGAACTCGGCTTCGCACGTGGCGCCCAGGTTCCGGTGCAGGAGGTGGGCTCGCTGATCAAGTTCGCCCTCGGCGCCAGCGGCATCGTTGCATACCTGGACAAGGACGGCCTGCGCGCCCTGCTGCAGAGCAGTCGGTGCCAAGAGCACCTCACGTGCAGCTCCAGCCAGGTGCAGAGGAGCGGCTTCTTCAACCCCTAAACCCCTAAACCCCCAAACCCCTAAACCCCCAAGCCCCCTCAACCCCTGAACCCCTAAACCCCTAAACCCCCGAACCCCCTCAACCCCTAAACCCCTAAACCCTTAAACCCCCAAACCCCCTCAACCCCTAAACCCCGAAACCCCCAAACCCCCTCAACCCCGGAACCCCTAAACCCCCTCAACCCCTAAACCCCCTAAACCCCCTAAACTCCCAAACCGCCTCAACCCCCAAACCCCTAAACCCCTAAACCCCCAAACCCCCTCAACCCCTGAACCCCTAAACCCCTAAACCCCCAAACCCCCTCAACCCCTAAACCCTTAAACCCCCAAACCCCCTCAACCCCTAAACCCCGAAACCCCCACACCCCCTCAACCCCGGAACCCCCAAACCCCCTCAACCCCTAAACCCCCCAAACCCCCTCAACCCCTAAACCCCTAAACCACCAAACCCCCTCAACCCCGGAACCCCTAAACCCCCTCAACCCCTAATCCTCTAAACCCCTACACCCCCAAACCCCCCCAAAGCCCCTCAACCCCTAAACCCTGCAGGAAAAAGGCGCCTGGTCTTTTCAGCTCCGCGGTCCGGCCCACGCGCCAGGGCGTTCCGGCAGGAAGAAGGCAGCAGCTAAGGGCCGCCCTGCAGGGTTTGGGGGGGGGCTTTGGGGGCTTTAGGATTCAGGGCTTAGGGTTTGGGGGGGCGCTTTAGGGGCGTTAGGGATCTTTGGAATGTAGGAGGCTTAAGGTTTTGGGAGTTTAGGTTTCAGACTGATGCCATTCAGGATCCCTTGACAAGCCCTGAGAGTCATCTACGGAGCGGTGAGGTGGCGAGGTGTTCAAGGAGTCGTTGAGTCTGATGGGGAACCGAGCCGGCTTGGGTTTCGGACACAACCCCAAACACCGAAAGCCATACGGGTGGTTGTCAAAATGATGGTTCCTTTTGGGGGTCCCTAATATAGCACGGCACCTATTATTTAGGGTTCCCAGAAAGGGATCCTAATTTTGACAACCACTCATACACCCACAAAGCATCCTGAATCCCCAGATCCCCAAACCCCCAACCCTAGACCTCGAGCCCTCTTCAACCGCAAAACCCCAACCATAAACCCCAAACCCTAAACCTTAAACCCCAACCCTAAACCCCCAACCCCAAACTCTAAAGCCCTGAACCCTAAACCCCTCAACCCCTAAACCCTAAACCCTCAACCCAATGCCTGCTTCCGGCATCGGAAGACAAAGGCCGCTCTTCGGCGACGGTGGCCTCCGAGGCTTCGACTTTGGCTGGCGCGGGCTTCGGCTTAAAGGTCTAGGGCCCTAGGGCTTTTAGGGCTTTAGGTTTCTGTACTGTAAGTTGGGTTCCGTAAAGGGCTCAATACAGGGATCTATAGGGCTCCTTCAAGGGATCTATAGGGTTTAGGGTTTAGGGTCCACTTAGAGGATCGTGGGACTTAGTAAGCAGGGTACAAGTACCTGAATTAGGGTTATCAGTAGATATAATCATAGCTACTTTACGTACAACCCTACTTACGAAGTCCCCTGATCCTCCAAGTAGGGTTTAGGGCTTCACGGTGCAAGGCTGGGGTCTGGGTTTGGGGTTTAGCGCTTTGGGGTGTAGGGTTCGTGCTTTAGCCGGTGCCATCGAATGACTGTAGTACAGTAGGGGCCTTAACAAGTAGAAAATGTTATACCTACACCGGGACTACAACGGAACAATATCAATAGTCATCCCGACCTCTATAGTAGTGGATAGGAGTAGGAGTAGAAGTAGCAGTAGGAGTAACTTGCCGCCTCTTCGTGTCAGCAACAGCGGCAGGAGAAAAACCGGTAGGAACAGAAGCAGCAGGCGTAGAAGCAGAAGATGAACCACACCTAATTCCTTCTGAAGCTAGGGTTTAGGAGTTTAGGGGTTTAGGGGACTTAGGGGCTTAGGGGTTCAGGGGTTTAGAGGTTTAGAGGTTTAGGAGTTTAGGGTTTGGGGTTTAAGGCCTTGCAACCGATGCCACGACATCGATCCCACCACCGTGACCAGCAACAACAACACCACAACCCGAAACGCAAAGCCTCGACACCCTGAACCCGAAACCATAATCCTTGAAATCTAAACCTCAAACTGAGACCCCAAAGAAAAAAACCCAACAACAACAACAACAAAAAAAAAACAAAAAAAAACTTCGAAGAGCCTCGGTTTGACTCAGAATCTCCGGCGCTGGGTCCGGCGGGCTCTGCGAGACCTGGTCTAGGGGTTTAGGGTAGCGCATTGGGCTTAGAGGCTTAGGGGTTTAGGGCGTGGGGGTTTAAGGTTCAGGGCTCGAGGTGTTGAGGCTTTTTCCAACAGATCGTTACATCACCTAAGGGCCCTTTACGAGTTGGGTACAAGAAGATCCTTCCAGGGAAGGCTCTCGCGGTGTTGAGGTCTTCTGTGCTGAGATGGTTTAATAGTTACTATGGTTTACAATAACTACTATGCTCTATAGGCGTCAGAAGAGGCTTAAGACTTGAGAATGTCGCCGTGAACTTTCGTGCCGGTGAGGGCTGCATATTAGGCGGTACATGGCTCCCCAAATTGATCTGTGCGCACGCACTGGGGCTTGTAATTTGTTCACACGCCAGGCCTGAAATCTTAAACTCCAAATAAGAAACACTCAAGCTCTAAACCTTGAAACTAAACTCTAAACCTTGAAACTTGAAGCCTAAAGCCCTAGGCCGCAAGGTTGGGGTGACTTTCTATATTATAAAGCAGTCAAGCCCCTGTACTATGCCGTTCTCTGGGCCTAAAGATCTACATAGCCCTGTTGCAAAAACCACAAACCCCATTACAAGCCCTTCAAACTACCCTATAAACCCCAAAACAATCAGCACCACCTTCTAGAGCAAAACCCAACAACAGGCATCAATACCAGCGGGGCTTAACGGCCTAAAGCTCGAAACTCTCGAAAGACGTTTAAAAAAGGAGCCATCGCAATCCAATAGCCTAACCGGCTATGGCGCAGAGTCTCCGAAGAATAAGGGTACCGTCTTTTGGTGTCCTTATAATAAGGATCCTACGATTTAAGGTACGCTATTAGGGTCCCCTAACCCTAAGCCGTAAATCCCACCTGGGCCGGGCCCCGGCCGGCAGGCAAAGGCTGCAGCGAAGCCTCGGCGACTTGGACGTTGGAGGCAGCAGCAGGATGAGGGTCAGTACGGTTTGATGATATAATTTCCAGGGTTCCTTTCAAGGGATCTATAAGGGTACCTTTATATAAGGGGTTCCTTTAAGGGATCTTTCGGGTTTTAGGGTTTAGGGTTTAGGGTTGATGATAGGACCCTAAACTATGGGGATTATGGTATATTCCTTCTTATGGGTAATGCAGGATTTCTATCATCAACCGTAGGACCAGTAGCCCTAAACCCTGAAACCCTAAAAACCCTAAGTAGCAGCAGTCGTCGTCGCAGTGGCCCTGAACCCGAAGCCTCAAACCCTAAACCCGAAAACCCTAAGGCAGTAGTAGTAGTAGTAGTAGTAGTAGTAGTAGTAGTGGTAGTCGTCGTCGTAGTAGTAGTAGGAGTAGGAGTAGGAGTAGGAGTAGGAGTAGGAGTAGTAGTAGTAGTAGTAGTAGTAGTAGTAGTAGTAGTAGTAGTAGTAGTAGTAGTAGTAGTAGTAGTAGTACCCTACGCGCCTTCATTTGATCGTGGGTCCAACTGCTTCAGGAGGATGGCAGTAGTAGTAGTAGTAGTAGTAGTAGTAGTAGTAGTAGTAGTAGTAGTAGTAGTAGTGGTGGTCGTGGTGGTCGTGGTGGTCGTGGTCGTAGTCGCCCTCAGCCCTAAGCCTGATCAAAGCCCTAAACCCTAAAACCCTAAACAGCAGTGGTCGTCGTCGTCGTAATCTGCGTTTGGAAAAGACAGAGAACGACTAGGAGGTGCTTTTTAAAGCCTTTGAAAATATTAGTAGGTAAGATCCTCTTAAGCCCAAGAAGAGCAAATATAAAAATGTCCCAAAGCACTACCTGGACGCGAAAGCTAGTAGTCCTTATAGACCCCTTTAAAGGAACCCTTATAGTAGCTCTTATGGACCCCTTTAAAAGTAAAGACAGAGAACGAGAAAGTTGCAGCAGAGTGGCTCCCGCAGCCGGGCTCCGGTTCTTCGAGGTAGGTCTGGGACCTAAGCGCGGTGGCGAAGGACTTAGGGCTTACTGCTTCGGGCTCTTGGGGGTTTTAGGGTTTCGGCCTTTTGGGGTTTAGGGTTTAGGGCTTAGTACTTCGGGCTTTTGGGGTTTAGGGTTTCGGGTTGTCTTTTTAAGGTGCAGGGTTTCGGGTTTAGGATTGAGGGTTTCGGGTTAAGGGTTTAGGGTGGCTTTATAAGAGTTCTAATTACAGGGCCTCATCAAGGGGACAGGGAACTGTCCTCAAGCTCGGAGCGAATGCTGCCCAATGGATTGAAGCTCTCAACCCAGAGACTCCAATATCCCGTAATTAAGGAATATACCTTAAATGCCTTAAATTATAATGGGGATCCCAAATATATACCTTAAACCCTTTAATTCAGGAATATGGCCTAAATCATAATTTGAATCACTTTATAATTTAAGCTATACTCCTTAATTAAGGGGTATTGGGCTGTCTGGGAACCCGGGAGGAAGCACAGGCCACCGCCGTGGTGCCCACGAAATCGTTGCATGCATTCCGCAGCCTGACCTCGAGATGGCAAGTCAGCGGGATTTGACGCCGACGGAACTCGTTCCACCCATGGGAAGTGTGGATAAGCTTCGTCCCAGCTGTGGAATACCGAAGATAGCGCCTGCATAGAAGGCACACCTGAAACTACCCGAATCATGGAGAACCTTGCAGCTTCATTGTCCACAAAATAGAAACACTTCCTTCCAGAGAGGCGAGTGCAAAGCATGTAACGAACGCAAACCACCGCCGCAAGCTCCGCTTGGGAAATGATTTGTTCATCCGGATATCTCTGCCAGGACTCGACAAGCCTCGAAGGAAGAGAGCCATCAAATATCGAGGGATGCCCGCCCAGGGTGTGAAACACTACCGCTCCGATCGTAGCCTTCCCGCCTTCATAGGCAGCGTCTACTCGGGCTTCATAAGAGCTCTATGAATCCCCCTAAACCCTAAACCCTAAACCCTAAACCGTAAACCGTATAGTCTATGAAGGTTTAGGTTGGGGCTGTTTGGGCTGCTTGTGGGGTTTAGGGTCTTGCGATTTAGGACTTGGGGCTCTGGGCTTAGAGTTTCGGTTTAAGGTCTGGGTTTAGGGTTTAGGGTTTAGGGCCTAAAGTTTAGGGTTTAGGGCTTCAGGGTTTGAGGTGTGTTCGAGTCGTTTGGTGCAGACCCACCTTGTATAGGGCTTGTAAGTCTAGGTGGTTCCCAGACAGCCCAATACGCCTTAATTAAGAAAAAGGGCCCGAATTCAAACGTGATTCATATTATGGTTTAAGCCATATTCCTGAATTAAGGGGTATTGGGCTCTCTGGGGTTTCAGGGTTCAGGCATAGCGGCTTGGAAATACGGCCCTGCGGAAAAAAGCCTGTCTGAGCGTTGTGAACCTTCGATCCAAGTCTCTGCTCATTACCCAGACCCCTGGGAGGATCTAGAAAGTAGGGTTTAGGGGTTTAGGGTTTAAGGTTTGGGGGTTTAGGGATTTAGGGTTTAGGGGTTTAGGGTTTAGGGGTTTAGGAGTTTAGGGTTTAGGGTTTAGGATGTAGAAAGTAGATCCCCTAATTTGGGGCCCTATACTACCAAGGGCACTTTATAGGAACCCCGATGAAGGGATCCTCCCGGGGGTCTGGGTACCTATTTACTATGTCGATAGTTCTCTAAATCAGATATCGTACCCAGAGCGCCCAATACCCCCTTAATTAAGGAATATAGCTTAAATCATAGTATGAAGCCCTATATAGTTTAAGCCATATTCCCTAGTTAAGGGGTATTGGGCTCTCTGGGTACTTGTCTGGGACGTAGATTGGGACCCTGCTTTAGAGAACTAGCCATGCCACGGTCCAACCCGGAACCCTACACCCTAAAACCCTCAACACCCTAAACCCTAACACCCCAACACCCTACACCCTAACGCCCTAACTTCCTAAAACCTAACAGCCTAACATCCTAGACCCTAACACCCCGAACCCTAACACCCGGACACCATGAACCCTTAAACCCCTAACACGCTAAACTCTAAAGTCCTATAGAACCCGTATGGATCCGCTACAGAACCCTCAAACGAACCACGAAGTCCCCTTAGAACTAGCCATGTCTCCTAAAACCCCCTAAGTGCCATGAACCCTAAACCCTAAACCCCAAACCGTACACCTAAAAGCCCCGAACCCCTAAACCCTTAACAGCCTAAACCCTAAACCCAAACCCCCAAAGACCCAAAAGCCCTGAACCCCTAAAACCTCCTTGACCCCCTAAACCCAGAAACTCCAACATCCCTTAATTAAGGAATATGTACCTTAAATTATAATAGGACCCCTAATATGATTGAAGGTATGTTCCTTAATTAAGGGATATTGGAGTCTCTGGGAAGCCCTCCAAGTGTCATGCCCAGTGGCCCGTGGAAGGCCCAGTGGCCGAGACGGCGGGCCGGGGTGGCGGGTAGGCGCTGCACGCGCCGCCGTCCCCTTTCATGGGCTTTAGGGGTTCCTTTAAGGGCTCCTTTAAGGGATCCTTTCAGGGCTCCTTTAAGGGATCCTTCTGAGGGATCCTTCGAAGGGTTCCTTTTAAGGGTTTCAAGTGGCGTTCCTTTAAAGGTTCTGCAAGGGCTTCTTTCAGGGTCTTCTAAGGTTCTATATGGGAGTTTCCGAAAATATCCTTAATATAAGGGCCCCAAGATAACACACCCCTTGTTTTCGGAAACTCCCATATAGAGGATCTGGGGACTTATTAAATGGGGCTGGTTATGGCTATGGCATGGGATTCGAGGCTTTGGGCTTCGAGGTTTGGAGTGCGATAGGAGCAATATGGGGGCCCTCATAACTGGAATAGGGTTTTAGGGGCCCCTTATACCTATATCTATGATAAGGACCCCCCAAAATATATAGTAGAATGGGTGATGATTGAGGCCCCTATAGTATGACATTCACTACAAAGTACACATCAAGGTTTCGACGCCGTTTCCGAGTCGCAGCTTGACCGAAATCCTTATTCCTCAAACCCGTATTTGAGCCTCTTCAGCACTGCACCATGGAACCCTTAATGAAACCTTATGAAGGACCCTCGAAGGGATGTATAAGATTTAGGGTTTAGGGTCTACTTAGAGGATCATTGGGATTTAGTAACAGCTAGAAGTACCTGATTTAAGGTTATAAGTAGATAAAACTATAGGTACCTTGTTTAAAACCCTCCTTACTAAGTCCCATGTATAGTTACCTTACTTAAAACTCTACTTACTAAGTCCCATGACCCTCCCAGTGAAGCCTACACCAATCCTTTAAGTCTGAGTTAGGCTGCTTATAACACTACTTATAACTAAGTCCCGTGATCCTCCAAGTATACCAGAAAGCAACACTAACCCCTGGAAGACCCTTACAGAGTCCTTATACCAGCTCTTGTAAAGCTCTGAAGACTCCTTGTAGATAGATCCTTGTGTAGACTCCCAAAACAACCCAAACCAAATTGCAAAACATGCGATACGGATAAAGATATAGATGTAGATACAGATGCAGATAGAGACACAGACACAGATACAGGTAGAGATCGAGATTGAGATAGAGATATGTAGGGATCGAAACGTAGATATAGATACTGATATAGACATAGAGATAGATGTACGTGTAGACATAGAAATAAACATAGACATAGATACACATATAAACCTAGACATTTTGGCACATGTAAAATGCAAAACCTAACGTAAAACCACACGGGTGTCCTTCTCGACTGCGAGGTTTCGTAGGCGAGTGGGGCAGGGCCTCGCAAGATTGCGCTTGTCTTAACCCTCATAATTTCCCCTCGGGTGCGGGATGGTCTTGCATCAGGGTTTAGGGTTAAGACCTTGGGATTTTAGGGTTTAGGGACAGCAAAGCACAAACCCTAAACCACAGACCCCAAGCAATAGCTTAAAACTCGAGAATAAAACCCAAAGCCCTAGGCCCTAAACAACGAAACCCCGAACTCTAAACCTGCCAGGAACTCGGAGGCAGGGTCGCGGCCAGCTCCCGTGCTATGCACTCCCGTAGTCCAAGTCTACCTGTAACCCAACAGACCTATCTTTGGAGGCTTCCCAGACAGCCCAATACCCCTGAATTAAGGAATATGGCTTAAATTATAAAGTGATTCATATTATGATTTAAGCCATATTCCTCAATTTCCTTATAGAACCCCTTATAGATCCCTTTAAGGAGCCCTTTAAGGAACCCTTAGGCCTCTGGCTCATTATGAAACCGAAAGGTTCCATGCGCCTGTTGTCGTGCAGGAACCTGGTACCCAGAGACTCCAATACGGTTGATGATATAAATCCCAGGGTTCCTTTAAAGGGATCTATAAGGGTACCTTTCAGGGGCTCCTTTAAGGGATCTGAAGAGTTTTGAGGTTTAGGGTTGATGATATAAATCCTGCATGACCTTAAGGGCCCTAGACTATGGAATTTATGGTATATTCCTTATTATGGGTCATGCAGGATTTATAACATCAACCGTATCCCTTAATTAAGGAATATTCTTTGCATCATATTAGGGATCCTACTATAATTTAAGGTATGTTCCTAAATCAAGGGATATTGGAGTCTCTGGGTAAGAGGCTCCCCTTTATCCTCAACCCTAAACCATAAACCCTACCAGAGGATTCATACCTTGCAGGGTTCCTTAACCCCAAACCCTAAACCCTGAACCCTAAACCCTAAAGCTTAAACCCTAAACCCTGAACCCTAAACCCTAAACCCAAAATTCTAATCACTAAAGCCCTTCGAGCAGACAAGGTCGCGCACCCGAAGCTCGGATCGGCTCCCGCTGCTTGAGCCTGGGAAGATGATGCCGTTTAGGGGTTAGGGCTTCGAGGTTTGGGGCGTTTAGGGGTTAGGGGTTTGGGTTTAGGGTTCAGGAGTTCGGGATCAGAATTTGGTTAGGGGTTACGGCTTCGGGCGTTTAGGGGTTAGGGGTTATGGTTTAGGGTTCAGGAATTAGGGATCAGAATTTGGTTAGGGTTCAGGGGTTTTGGGGGTTTAGGGGCTAGGGTTTCGGAGGTAGGGGTTATCGTTTAGGATGTACCGGTTAGGGGTTAGGGGTTGTACGGTTTAGAGTGTAGGAGTTAGGGGTTAGGCTTTAGGGGGCGTAGGGCTTAGAGGGACAATCCTCTTGCAGGGCGTGGGGTTTTAGAATTTGGGTGGATTGAAACCTTTTTGCATTCAGGGTTTGAGGAGCTCCTTGGCGGTCCGGGAAAAGGAATCATGGACTCTCGTGGCGCGCTACTGCTGGAGCCCATGCCTTTATTGCGTTGCATCTGGTGCTAAAACCTACCCAAACCAGACATAATTTCCTCATATTTCCTCCATATGTTATGCTTGTGTGTTTGTTCGATCCCTGTATTTGGGCTACGGGATCTTCAGGGTTTCTCATGTTCCTACCTGCCTTCCTACCTACCTACCTACCAACCTACCGCCACTACCACTACCACTACCAGTACCACTACCACTACCACTACCACTACCACTACCACTACCACTACCACTACCACTACCACTACCACTACCACTACCACTACCACTACCACTACCACTACCACTACCACTACCACTACCCCTACCACTACCACTACCACTACCCCTACCACTACCACTACCACTACCACTACCACTACCACTACCACTACCACTACCACTACCACTACCACTACTACTACTACTACTACTACTACTACTACTACTACTACTACTACTACTACTACTACTACTACTACTACTACTATACTGCTACTGCTACTACTATTGCTACTGCCACCATTACTACCACTACTACAACTACTACCACCCGCACAATCACGATCACGACCAGTTGGTGGTAGTAGTTGGTTGCAGCTGGGGGTCGTTGTCACGAAACAGTAATAGCGGCAGTGATCTTGATTGACAGCTCCAAACAAACTGTCGCCCAGGCACGCGGTCGAAGCCGGCGGCGAAGAAGTCGCAGCGAGGGTGCCGCTTCGTCCGACATTCCGCACGTGATGCTTCGCAGTGTTGTTCTTATCGGGGTTCAGAGTTTTGGAGTAAGGTTTTCCGATTGGGGGGGGTGATGTCTAAGGCTTCCCGGTGCATGCCAGAGGCCGAGGAACTTTGGACTTTGGGGTGTCAGGCTTTAGGCTTTACCAGGATTCCGGAGCTGCCCTTCTTCAGATTAAAGGTTTGGGATTCCAGATTTTCAAGCTTGGCATGTGCGAAGCTGGGCACGTTGAAGGGAAGCTCAATGCAGAACAGCATGATTTCTATGCGTCTATGACGTGCAAGATCCCCCGGCACTGCAAGCTCAGGCCTCTTAAAGACTCGGGTTTTAGTTTTGTTAAGGGTTTAGGGTTTAGAGTTTTGGTTCAAGGTCCGAGATTAAGCACCTCTTCCTCAGAGCCAAAAGGAGCAGACACGCTACGCTTGATGTGCTGTCGCCTACAGTAACTGAAGTTGAAGTTGGCAGCAGCCCATGCCCAAGAGGAGCATGGCCAAAAGCCCTAAAGTCTTCATGCCATCTATGCTGAAATCCAACTCGGGTTTACTCGGGTTTAGGGCTTCGGGGAAAAACCCTACCCGGAATCCTGAACCCCAGAACACAAGATGCTTCTGGAAGCTTTTGGGCTGACTGCAGAAGGTTACCGTGTGCCAGGAACGATCTTTGCGCCCTTTGCACATGAGCTGTGCCGGGGGGCTACCATCTACCCACCCTGATCTTGCTCCTACAGTGAAGCTTCAGCCCCTTCAGTCTAGCGCCAGGCGTGCAAAGGCCACAGCGGACAGCAGAGTCAGCGGGAAGAACACGCATCGCTCAAAGTTCGTCTTGGCAAGGGCATTCCTTGGACGCTGCACTGGAGGGTACTGCTTTCGGTCTTCGGCAGGCGTTAACAGTTGAAGTCGGGCTTTGGGTTTAAGGCTTCGACATTCTTAGTCTCAGGTCTTGCGGTTGATCTCCGATGCGCTCTCTTAGAGACTGCAGAAGCTTCCCTGAAGCAAAGTGCAGGGAGCCTAAAGACCAAGACCTGTGTCTTGAGTTCACGGATTTCGTAGTGTTTGGAATTCATTTCATTATTCCACCGGTACGACTAGCGCTACCTAACACATTCTGATCCAAAGACCCTTAACTCTGAACCCTGAATCCCTAAACCCCAAACCCCTAAAACCGAAACCACTCTTTGTTATATTGAACTGTACCTACCGAGGCTCCCCACGGTGTTGCACGCGAAGAGACCGCAGAATACGGCGCACAAAGCTCGAAGCACCGATGCAGGCAGGCAAGGGCACCTCAACACAAAAGGCTAAACCAAAAAGATTTACCCTGAACCGTAAATCCCAAACCCTACACCCTAAACCCTAAACCCTAAAGCCTAAACCCTGACCCTCCAAACCCAAAAAAAACAAAGTCTAAACCCTTAACCCAAAACCTAAACCCCAAAACTCTAAAACCTAAACCCTAAAACCCTTAAGCCTTAAACCCTAAAAACTCTAAAACCCTGAAACCCTTAAACCCAGAACCCTACACCCTACAGCGCAAAGTGCCGACCTTCGGAGTGGGCGACTGGAGGTGTTGCGCTTGTTTACAATCTTAGGGCTTGCACCAACCTCCTCTTAGGGTTTAGGGTTTAGGGTTTAGGGTTTAGGGTTTAGGGAACTCTGGATCCTAAACCCTAACTTCTAGACTCTAGATCCTGAACCGTTCCGGGTTTAGTGTTTAGGGATTTGAACCCTGTTAGACTTACGATGAACCAGGGCTGCCTTGTTAGACTTACTCTTGGGTGATAAGGCTTAGAGCGTTTAGAGAGACGGATCTCCAAGGCTCTTGAAACTGTACTGGTTTAGGGTTTAGGGTGTAGAGTGAAACCCGATCAATCCTAAACCCTAAACCCTAAACCGTAATAACCCTAAACCCTAATAACCCTAAACCCTAATAACCCTAAGCCCTAATAACCCTAAACCCTAATAACCCTAAACCCCAACAACCCTGAACCCTAAACCCCGATCACCAGCAGGGCGACGCATTCAACCATCCACCCCGGGTCAGCACCAGGAGCAACATGAGCAGGTTGAGGGACACAGAGATCGCCTCGAATGTGTACATCTCGTCCTTTTGAGGCTCGAGGGTTTAAGGGTTTAGGGGTTTAGGAGGGGTTTAGGAGTTTAGGGGGTAAGGAGTTTAATTTAGAGGTTTAAGGGTTCGGGAATTTAGAGTTTGGCCGCGCGAACTCTTGCGCGTGTACCGGAGGGGCAGCTTAGATCACAAAGGTCGGAGTTCAAAGTCAGGGAATAGTCCGTCGTAGGAAACCTAAACCCTTAGGGCTTTCTTAAAGTGCTCGGGCGCCTGCTCGCTGCTAGGATGATCCTTTGTCTACAACTGCTAGGTTGAGGGTTTAGGGGTTCAGGGTGAGGGTTCGGGTTAAGGGCGTAGGGATTGTCTGTTGCTTTCTTCTAGGTGAAGCACCCTTCTTACCTATCCATGTTTCAACATCCCCTGGAACCGCACATTCCCCTCGAGCACGATAAGCATGATAACAGAGACACCAGAAACCTTGAGCAGCAAGGTTGGGTAGTGACTCCATAAACTGTCTATAATAGGGCTACTATTAGAGGCCTTATAGTGATTTATTCAAGTGTCACTCAGTGGGGGCAGTATCCAAGGTTTAGGGTTCAGGGCTTGCGGTTGTTTGCAGCCCTTGCTCCTTGCTGTTCAGCTGGCCGCCCCACACGTAGCGATAGTCCACCTGCACATCTCACAAGGACCCTACGCCTCACCTCAAGTCGTGCGCGGAGAAAAACATGCCACCCTAAACCCTAAACCCTAACCCAGCCCCGAAACCTTAACCGTAACCCCTGAAAACCGAAGCCTAAACCGTGACCCCTAAATACATCCGCCTCATCTGACGAAAAGCCTGTTGACCTCACGAAAACTGGTAAAACAAAGTCTGCACAACGTAGATCCCGTCCCTTAAATTCTAGGGATTATGGTAGGTAACCGACGACAGGGCTCGGCTCATACAGATGAATAGGGGGTCCACATTCGTTATGATCCTAAAGCCCCATGTTCTCCAAAGCCACTCTGCAGCCTGAAACCTCTTCAACCCTAAACCCGTGAAGCTGTAGGAGCCGAACCCTGAACCCTAAACCCTAAACCCTAAAACCCTAAACCCTAACCCCCTAAACCCCAAACCCCTAAACCCTAAACAAATCTCTAAACCCTAAACCCCTAAACCCCTAAACCCTCCTAAACCCCAAAATTCTGAAGGCCTCGAGAGTTCAGGGCTTCAGAGCTTTCGGGGGCGTTCAGAAGTTACCTTTGGTCGGGTCGGGAGCCTCCCACAAGGTTTAGGGTTTAGGGCGTAGGGCTTTAGGGTTCAGGGTTCAGGGCTTAGGGTTTAGGGTTGAGGGCTCAGGGCTTAGGGCTTTGGGCTTAGAGTCTGGAGCCTGCCACAAGGCCGGAGCTCTGGATATCCAGACTGAGCTTCTGCGGCATAGTGCAGACCCCTGTTTGCTGAAACCCCCCGTTTCTGAAAAGCACAATGTACCCAGGGACTCCAAGATCCCTTACTTAAGGAATATTCCTTAGATTAGGGATCCTAGCATAATTCATGGAGTATTCCGTCTTTAAGGGATATTGGAGTCATTTTAGTCTCTGGATAACTCGAAACCTTACATACAGGTCCTTCGGATACTTAAATATTGAAAGTATCCTTGGCAGGAGAACAAACACTGACACTGCAAGCTCCGTGTACAAACTCCAAAGCCCCAAGGCTTCATCTCGAAACCCCCATGAGCCCTCTAAACCCCTAAACTCCATACTGCAGCACAGTACGGAATGCTACATTGCATTCTTTCGGCCTGCCCCACCGGGAACCGTCCCTAAACCCTAGGCCCTAAATACTCAACCCTAAACCCTAAGCCCTAAACCCGGCCCCCACCTTTCCCGTCAAGATCAGGGCATGGTAGGTCAGGGACACACACATCATCACCACCAAGCCTTGGCTCTTCTGTCTGGCTCTTAAGAGGGAGTGGGGGAATGGATCGCCAAAACGGTCCTGCACTCCTCAATGTGCCAAGGAATCCATCCAGATTAGGAAACCTGCCGGCTCAAAAAAGAACAAACGGCACAACTTTCGAAACCGAGCGCAGAAGAGTGATGCTAGGTCTGCATGTTGCTGTTGGGAAGCGGTCATTACCTCTTTTCCAAATCATCGAGCAGCCACTGCCAACGGAACAAACCTGAACCCTGAGACTTGAAACCCTAACCCGAAATCCTAAACCGTACTTGAAGGATCATGGGACTTAGTAAGTAGGGTTCTAAGTACCTTAATTAGGGTTATAAGTAGCTATAACTATAGTTACCTTACTTGCAAGCCTACTTACTAAGTCCAATGATCCTCTAAGTAAGCTCTCGACCCTTGATCATACTAATCCTCAACCGATCGCAGAGCCCTGGACACTCTTTAGGGCATTAGGGCAGCTTTAGGCCATGTTCTCGCTGTCGCGGGCCACCGAGCTGCAGAAAAGCTTGAAAACCCCGTAACTTGGAAACCTTACACTCGAATCATAGCAGTAAAGCTCGTATTTGGCCAAGAATCAAACCTGTTTGAACCCTGATAGACCCTGACACAGAACCCCAGTAGAACTCCTGCACTTATACTGATGATACGGCATATACGTGCCCCTGGCGTACCCGTATCAATTTAGGCCAACCTTTGCAACTGTAAGTACATGGACTCTGGACAACTCTACCGATCATGTCCTACTAAACCTCTCCAATACATCTTCAACGAACCCTAGAAACCCTAAACCCTAAACCCTAAACCCTAAACCCTAAACCCTAAACCCTAAACCCTAAGACAGGAACCTCAAGACCCATAAGGTCCAACCTTCATAAAACCCGTCAAAAGACCCCTTGACGGAACCCCTAGACATCCTCTTAAAAGGATCCCTTAAAGATGCCCTTTAAGATCCCTGATAGATCCCATTTTTTAAGAGAGCCCATTAAGATACGTCGCCTTTGGCCGCCGCGCCGGGGCTGAGCCACTTCCGTACCATGCAACCGTCGGTGCGCTCGTCGTTCGAGGATGCCTTTGGTCTGGGCCCATAAGGTTTAGGGTTCACGGTTTAGGGTTTTAAGGTCCCGACAGAGCCCAATACCCCCTTAATTAAGGAATATACCTGAAATCATAAGATTAAGGCCCCCTATAGCTTAACGGTATAATCCGTAAATCAAGGGGTATTGGGATCTTTTGGGTTTAGGGTTTAGGGTCTCGGGCCTCCTAAGGTTAAGTGAGTGACAGCTTCTTAGGGTTTTGATTTGAGGGCTCGATATAGGGTTTGGTATGAGGGGATTGATCTGTTTGAACGGTCATGGAAGTGTTTGTCCTAAGTTCCCGGATGTTAGGATGTGGATTCTGAGTTTGAGGGTTTAGGGTTTTGACGTGAGGGTCCGTAGGGTCCGTTCCTGATCTGCGGGCTGGGCTTAGGGTTGAGATTTGCGAGTTCAGGGCTCAGGGTTCGGGAGGCTTGGAGTGTTTTGCTTCAGCAATGCTTACCCAGACGCTGCTATTTGAGGACCATTGCCAAAGGATCGAACCGCTTGATTATAGTATACCCCGAAACCTAGTCCAATGATGCAGGGCCCTAAAACCTGACAAGTCCCTGTGAATCAAGCCTTTATGTAACCTATATCGCCCTTTCTCTTTGCCAGGATCCCCCATAGATCCCGTAGATCTCCTATATCAAGTTTCAGGGGACCAAGGACCCAAATGCCCCCTCCCTATCCTAAACGCTGAGCGCTAAACTGGCCCTAAACCCTTCAAACAGACTCTAAACTTGGCCCTCCGGCAGCACCGTCGGGGTCTTGCTGCCCGTCCTCCAAGAGCTGTCCATCCTTGCGCGCTTTCAAAGAGCTCATCGCGGGACAGCGCTGACGGATCCGTCGGCAAGAGGATAAAACCCCAGCCCAACAAGCACCCCCAAACACCGAAAAATCAGAATGTGTACTCAGATACCCGACAACCCCAAAATAAGCACATACCCCAAGATCCTTAAACCCTAAACCCTTAACCCTTAACCCTAAACCCTAAACCCCTAAACCCTAAACCCCTAAACCCTCAACCCTAAACCCTCGAGCCCAAAAAGAAGCCTAGAGACTCTGAGGCTCTTGAGCCCAAGCCAGTCGCCGGCTCGGCTGCCGTAGGGTTCAGGGTTCAGGATTCAGGGTTTAGGGGTTTGGGGTTTGGGGTTTGGGGTTAGGGTTTTGGGGTTTGGGTTTGGGGTTCAGGGTTTAAGGGTTTAGGGGTTTGGGGTTTAGGGTTAAGGGTTCTGGGGCTTAGGGTTTGGGGTTTGGGGTTCAGGGTTTAAGGGTTTGGGGTTTGGGGACTGGGGTTAGGGTTTTGGGGTTCAGGGTTTGGGGTTTGGGGTTCAGGGTTTAGGGCTTGGGGTTTGGGGTTCAGGGTTTGGGGTTTGGGGTTTGGGTTTAGGGTTTAGGGTTTAGGGTTATGGGTTTAGGGTTTAGGGTTATGGGTTCAGGGCTTGGGGTAGTTTCAGGTTCAGGGTATGACATGAGAGTGCATACAGATGTAGCTACACCATGCATGTGTACATGGGCACACATACTGGACAGATAGACAGACAGACAGACAAATACACCAGACGGAGAGAGACAGATGGACAGATGGATGGATGGATAGATTCACATGGATAAACAGATAGATAGGTAGACAGATAGGCAGGTGGACAGCCAGACAGCTAGACGCATAGACAGTTTTATCATACAAACATACACAACTGTTTTACATAGAATCACAGCAATATTCAGTGCACCCCAGCGGACGCCCCTTTTTTGCGATCGGCTTTGCATCCTCACCACCTCAAAGGTTGCAGAGATCGTGCAGGGGGACAGAGCTTTAGGGCACCGGGCCCTTATCGGGGTTCACAAGGCTTGACATCTGTAGGTTCTTCTAAGATTTTGTCGTGGTTCAGGGTATACCTGTAGCCGAAGAGGCCAACCTTTTTAAGGAACTATATATACGAAACATAATAAGGAACCCTAAAAGGGTAGGTCTTTCCGGCTACGGGTAGGGTGGGTCAGGGGGCTGAGGTTTAGGGTTCTGAGTTCTGCTATATGGCGTAATACTCAGGGTAAAGCTCTAAAAGCCCAGACTCAGAGACCCTAACTCTCAGGGTGGAGAATTTTTTTTTGCCCTTTTTTTTTTTTTTTTTGGCCCTTTTTTTTTTTTCCCCTGCCCTGGGCTCCTGGGTTCTCTGTATTTGCACAGGAAAAACAGCTCTTCTCTCGGGATTTTCTGTATTTCCACAGGAATCTCCAAGGGAAAACACTGCTTTCCTATGGATTTCTTTCGTTTCCTAAGGATTTGCTTGGTTTTTTCTGGGGAAAACACGATTTTCCTACGGATTCCGTTGTATTTCTCTAAGTTTTCTTTGGTTTTTCCTAGGAAAAAAGCTTATTTTCCTATTACCTACGGCGTTCGTGGCATTTCTTCAGGTTTTCCGAAGGAAAACATACGTTACCTAGCTTATTCCTCGGGAAAATCAAATTTTTCCTACAATTTCGCATTTAGGACGGATTTCGTGGTGTAGTTGTTGCTAGTAGTGTTGTTGTTGTTGGCGTTGTGGTTGTAGGTGTAGTATGTTGTAGTTTTAGTTCTAGTTGTAGGGATAAAAAACCCGAGGGTCAAACAAAAATCAAAGAAGGATCAAAAAATGAAAATACGGCAATTGCAGCCATTCAGCGTGATTGTTCTGTCTTTCTTACTGTGTTGTTCTTATTCCCTTGTGTTTTTTTGGGTTTGCGTTCTGTATTTCGTTCGATCATTCCTTGTCTGTCTTTCTGTGGTTGGTTCTTTCCGTTTATCTTTCTATTTTTCGATTTGTTCGTGATTTATTTCTTCCTGTCTTCCTTCCCTTGGCTAGTAGTGTTGTTGTTGGTGGCGTTGTAGTTGTAGGTGTTCTGTCTTTCTCTCCTTCTTTTTTCCTTTCTGGGTTTCTTTGTTTATGTATCTATATAGCTCTTTTTTTGCATCTTCTTTTTTATCTGCATATCTTTGTTTCTGCCTTGCTTTCTTCCTTTGTTTGTTCCTGTCCCTGTCTCTTTCTAGCTCTTTCTCTCTCTTTTTTTTAACTCTCTCTCTCTCTCTCTCTCTCTCTCTCTCTCCTTCGTGTCTTAAGTCCAAACCAAAAGCCGCGCATCGGACTTTTCGCCAGTCGCCGAGGCACTGAGCTGCTACCCTACACGTCCCTAGACCGTCTACGAACAGCCCTGCAGCTTACGTTGTACCTCTCCTTTCTTGCAGAAGCAGCAGCAGTCGTAGTATACGGACATGATCCCCCAACAAGCAAAGCTTGCAGACTGAGAAGTCTCGGACATAGTGTGGACAAACATCCCCCAATAAGCAAAGCTTACAGACTGCGATGTAAGCTGTGTAGTCCTTTAAGTTTCCGATCTTGTCTGTGTGTTCATGTAGATAGAGTATCTTGCAAGTTTCGCTTATGAACGCGAGGGAAAGTTGAGAGATGCGTGAATGAAACCTCGCGTCATGTCGCCTGTGAAAGCGCATGAGTCCTGGGGAGAAACCTCGTGGCCTCACGAGTTCCGCAACAGTGTGTATCGCATAATACGACGTAGTAAGGCACACTCATAGACTCATAGACATAAACATTAAGATTTCTATATTATACAAAATACGAAGCTTGTTGTAGAATATGTGCCTCATCCAATCACCCAGAGCTTCCACGACTCTTGAGCTGCGCCTAACGAGCACGACATGGCAGAAGTTAACACTCGTTTCTAGGCCACTGACGCGTCAGCTAGCGCATGAGCAAAGTTATAGTTTCACTGACGCGCACTGACGCGCACCGAGTCCCAGCTGACGCGGACCAGACAAATCTTAACATTTATATAAACTCCCACAGCCGGAGTTTAGAACGCCGCTCACGTATCGTTCTTCTTTATTTTCCGCGTCTTTCTTGTTCCTTTAACTATTTCTGATTGTCTTTATTACTTTATGGCCTTCCGTATTTCTTTATTTCTCTGTTTTTGTTCTTTGGTTATTTCTTCATTGTTTGTTTTGTTTTTGTTTCTAACTCTCTTTGGTTCTTTCCCTTGTGTTTTCTTTGTTCTTACCTTATAGCTTTCTTTATTTACTTAGTTCTCTATTCTTGTTTTCTTTTTTACTTGTAGCATCCTTTATTTGTTTATTTCTCTAGTTCTTGCATGGCTCTCTTTCTTTCTTTCTTTATTGATTTCTTTCTTTCGTTCCTTCCTTCTTATTTACTATATATACCATATTGATTATATATACTATATATACTATATATACTATATATACTATATACAGTATATATACTATATATACTGTATATATTATATATACTATATATACTATATATACTATATATAGTATAGTATATATATACTATATATACTATATACATACTATATATACTATATATACTATATATACTATATATATTATATATACTACTTATACTATATATATACTATATATACACACTATATACATTATATATACATATTATATATAGACTATATATATAATATATATAAAAATACCGTATATGCTATATATACGATATATATACCAGACATAGATATATATATATATATATATATACTATATACATATATACTTTATATACTATATATATATACTATATATATACTATATATATACTATATATATACTATGTATTTATATATATGTACTATATCTACTACATCTACCATACATACTGTATACACCGTTTATACTACACATACTGTATATACTATATATAAATATATATATATACACACTCCGTCCTTCCTTCCTTCCTTCCTTCCTTCCTTCCCGCGGCAGGGCCCCTCTCTCCCTGCCTGCCTGCCTCCTTTACTTCCTTCCTTCCTTTCTTCCCTCCTTCCCTCCTTCTTCCTTCCCTCCTTCCTTCCTTCCTTCCTTCCTTCCTTCCTTCCTTCCCGCGGCGGGGCCAAAAAAAAAAAGGGCAAAAACAAAAAAAAAAAAAAAAGGGCTAAAAAAAATAGGGTCCCCCTAACTCTCAACCCTCCCGCAGACCCCATCCTCCCCAAAAAATGCATGCCGCAGTAAGGCCACTAAGCAGTTCCATCAGAGCATCCCTATTCGAAGCTATGTCCTCCCTTCATAGAGCTTTATTTTGCTGGTACATGAGAGTTTCAGAAAACGTGGTACCCGCATGTAGACACGAAATAATCAGCTCCTCAGCGGCCGGACCCCTTAGGGTACCCCACAATGCCTCGAAAAAGTCTAAATTTCTACAGCAAGCAGAACCCAAAAGCCCTAAACCCTTGAAACCCCGAAAGTCGCAAACAAAGCAAAACCTAAACCATCCTCCTGCACAAGCACATTAAAGAAAAACTTACCTTCAGCTAGACCTAAGAGTAACCTAGGAATGAAAAGGGTGCCCTTTTTGGCTTAAAAGGGGGGCTATAAGGGAACCTGAACCCTAAAAAAGGGAATAAGGGCTTACTCTGAGTCCTAGAGAAAGTAGATCCCCTAATTGGGGGCCCTATACTACCAAGGGTACTTTATAGGAACCCCGATTAAGGGATCCTCCCGGGGGTCTGGGTACCTATTTACTATGTCGGCAGTTCTCTAAGTCAGATACCGTACCCAATACCCCCTTAATTAAGGAATATAGCTTAAATCATAGTATGAAGCCCTATATAGTTTAAGCCATATTCCCTAGTTAAGGGGTACTGGGTCCTAGTCAGGAACCCTAGGCCTGAAGAACTCTCCGGAGAGCTTTCCAGAACCGACCCGTCACAAATCACAACAACCCAGACCCCCGGGAGGATCCAAAAAGTAGATCCCTTAATGGGGGATCCTATAAAATACCCTTAGTAGTATAGAGCCC